AGACACATGGCTCTATGCCCTGGGAGCTGGAGAAGCCACATGGACCTCCCCGGGTGCACCCAGACCTCTGGAGTTGGAGAAGCCACATAGAGACCCATGCTTGTGCTGAGATGCTTACAATGCCACTAAATTCACAAGATTTCCAACCTACTGACCTGTGATCCTCCTGCATTCAGCATCATTGCATATATTTTGTGAGTCTGAAGAGGACTCTATAGATTTGTATCAGACATTAAGCTAATATTGGACTTCTGGATTTGATCTGGACTGGGTTGAGATATTTTCTCAATATCCAATTGATCTTGTATACAAACTGCTTTTTATAGGCATATGAGTGTCTCTGGATTTGTTTTTCTAGTCTACCCAGACTAACACAGATACTGAAACATAAACAAAGGAAGCAGAACATTGTAGGAGATACTGTCCTAGGATGGGGCCCTCAGGTCGAATAAAACTAGAAATGTGATAGAGGAGAACATGATTTCTTGAAGGGGAGTCCACCACATGACTTGAATAGGGCAAAGCCTGTGGGAAGGGAGGCTTCAGGATCTCCATTTGCTGATAAAGCACAAGTCAAGATAATGAGAAACAGCTGCAAAAAGATTCTAATGCTGTGAACTTGGAAAAGGAGAAGTATCGGTTTAGGGAAATTTGAAGTGGTCAAAATGGAATGGGACACATAAAGATAACTATTGTAGGCAGTGGTGAGTTGAAATGGACTGGTATGAGCTACTTAGAATAAGAAAATTAAGTGATCTACTATACTAGGAATAACACAATCAAAAGATATGGCCTGACATTAATTGCTAAAGATCTTGCTAAATTAATCATGAAGTACAATGCTGTATGTGATAGATTATATCTATCTGCATTTTAGGAAACTCAGTGAATATAATTATTATTCAAAATTATGCACCAACCACAAAAGCTAGTGATGAAGAAATTGAAAATTTATACCAAAGACTTCAATCTGAAATTTATCAAACATGCCATCAAAATACAATAAAAACTATTGGTGACTAGAATGGAAAAGTTGGAAATAAAGAGGAAGGAAGATTAGTTGGAAATTATGGTTTTGGTAACAGAAATAATGATGGAGATCACATGATAGAATTTTATAAAGCTGGTGACTTGCTCATAGTAAATATTCTTTTAAATCACAGTAAAAGGGGGACTCTACAAATGGACTTGCTCAGCTGGAATACATAGATACCTAATTGACTACATCTGTGGGACAACACAAAGGAGAAGCTCAATATCAGTAGCTAAAACCAGACCAGGGTAGTGCAGAACTGATCATCAATTGCGCATATGTAAGTTCAGGTTAAAGCAGAAGAAAATTAAAACAAGTCTACCCACAAGAGCCAAGATATGACTTGAGTCTATCCTACTTGAATTTTGATGACATCTCAAGAGCAGATTTGAGACTTTGAACACTGATGTCAAAAGACCTCATGGCCACCATTCATTAAGGAAGCAAAAGGTTACGTAGAGTTAGGAAGAAAGAAAATATCAAAGTGGACTCCAGAGGATACTGAAATTTGCTTATAATCACAGAGAAGCTAAAGCAAATAAAGAAAGGATGAATTCCAGAAGCTCAACAGAAAATTCCAAAAGACAGTTGAAAAAGACAATCCCAAATAATACAACAAAGTATGCAACGACCTAGAATTAGAAAAACAAAAGGGAAAATGCTCAACATATCTGAAACTGAAAGAACTAAATAAGTATTTCAAACAGCAAGTTGAGATCTTGAAAGATTATCTGGTGAAAATATTGAATGATGCAGGAAGATGGAAAGAATAGAGAGTACTGTACCAAAAAGAACTAGTTATTCCCCCATTTCAGGAAGTTGGATTTCATCAAGAACTAGGTATGTTAAAGGAAGACTTTCAAACTACAATGAATATATTTCCCCAAAAAAATGCTCCTAGAACTGGAGAATATCTCTTGAAATGTTTTAGCAGGCTGAAGAAGCAAAAAATGGAAGCACTCACTAATCTATGCCAGGACAGTCAGAAGAAAGCTTCTTGGCCAACTGACTGGAAGAGACCAATATTTGTGCCCATTCCAAATAATGGTGGCCCCACATCACACTCAAATTATGGAATGATACCATTGATATCACACATGTCATACATCAAAGGTTGAAGCAGTAAATTGATTAGAAACTTCCAGAAGTTCAGGCCAAATTCAGAAGAGGATATGAAAAAATGGAATCACTGCTGATGACAGATGGAACTTGTCTCAAAGCAGATGATACCGGAAAGACGTTTGCTTGTGTTTCATGGACTATTAAAAGGCATTTAACTGTGTGGATCATAATAAAGTGTGGGTAACCTGGAAAAGAATGAGAATGTTGGAATACTTCAATGTGCTTTCATGGAACTTATAAGGATGATAAAACAGTTGTGTGAACAGAACAAGGGCATATTACATGATTTAAAATCTGGAAATGTTTGTGTCAGGATTGTATTTTCTCTTTATGCTTGTTCAATCTGTATGCAGAGCAAATCATCAGAGAAGCTGGATTATATAAGGAAAAATGTGGCATAATATTTGGAGGAAGGTTTTATTAACAACCTGAAATAGATAACACAACCTTGCTTGTTGAAAGTGAGGAGGACTTGAAGCACTTGCTGATGAAAACCAAGGATTGTAGCTTTCAGTATGGATTACAACTCAATGTAAATAAGACCAATATTCTTACAACTGGGCCAATAGGTAACATCATGACAAATGGAGAAAGGGTTAAAGTTGTCAAGAATTTTGTTTTGCTTGGATCCACAATCAATTCTATAAAAGTAACCATCAAGAAATCAAAAGACATATTGCATTAGGTAAATCTGTTGCTCAAGATCGTTTTAGAGTATTTAAGAGCAATAATGTTATTTTGAGGATTAAGCTGCGCCTGACCCAGGCCATGGTATTCTCCACTGCCTCATATGCTTGTGACAGGTGGACACTGAATAATGAAGACCTAAGGAGAATCTATGAATTTGAATTGTGCTGCTGGAGAAGCCTACTACAATTATCATGGATTTCTAAAAGTACAAAGCAATCTGTCTTGGAAGAAGTAAGTGCAGAGTGCTCCTTAGAGGAAAGGGTGACAAGACTTAGTCTTACATACTTTCAATATATTGGCAGGAAAGACAAATCCCTGGAGAGGGACATCATCATGTTTAGTAAAGAGGGTGGCAAAGAAAGGGCAGAGGGACCTCAGTAGATAGATTAATACAGTAGTTGCATCAATGGGCTTGGGCATAGGAACAAATGTGAGGATGGATCAGGACTGTGTAGTGTTTTCTCTGTTGTGCACTGGATTGTTGTGGGTTGAAGCCAATGTGGTGGCACCTAATAACAACAATGGGTTTTTCATGTGTATAATCTAGACAAAAACAGTTTATCACAGCCTTTTCTGACTGGTGGATTTGAACCACCAACCTTTGAATTAATAGTCAAGCAATTAACTACTACACCACTTGAGTACCTACCTAACATTTAGTAAGTGGTCAATATGTTAGGTATTAATGATAGAAAAGATGTATTAATTAAATCAGTGCAAACTAGTACTTACCACATTCTAGTTGTAGGCCCACACGAGAAGGGTACCATTTTGGACCTATATAAGAAAAGTAATTATATTTCGTTTTTATGAGAACTAAAATACATCTTATAAATCTACAGATTTCCAAGGGAAGACAAATTACACTTTGGAAGTGAATAACATGGTCACCATGTTTGGAAGTTGATATGCTAGTTACATTTGTCAGGAATCTTGGGCATGATAGATAACAGCTGGTTGAAGATGAGGGGGAGCGATAGGGAGTCTAGTAATTTCATGCTTCGTCAGCTATATACTGGTTATATAGGAGTATACAATGTGTGAACTATCACTTGTGTATTTAATCCATATAAATTA